GAAAACTAGTGCGCACGTAAGCTCCCTTTTCGTAGACCATGTCACATATATTTAACAATTTTGACTTATATACTTGGCAAGTCTTTTTTGTAAACAACAAACAAAAAAATTTCATTTTGTGCTAACTTCGAAACTAATAGCTTATTTTTTTGTTAAATGTGCTTTAAAAAGGACCCACTGCCAATAAAGCCTTGTGGATTGCAATTTTTCCATGTTTGTAATGCTTCCATTTAAACATCTTTGTGGAAAAACAGTTTTTTGTTCAGAATTGGTTGTTTACGAAACATTTGGCATAAGTTGAAATCATAGGGACGCCGTTCTCTTCCGTTGCTCAATGGATTTTATACTTGAAAATGCACCAAAATATGTATGCAATACTTCTACATATCGTCGTTTAAAGTACAAAACCGCGCATCAACAAAATTCAAAACCTCGTATGTGAGGTTGCTTAAATTTTATAGGTCATTGAAAATAATTCACATGTATAAATTAAAAGATATAACCTAAGCGGTTACAGCGCTAAACAAAAGGAAAACTTAGAAAAAATAGCAATGCGGTGTGAAGGAAATATGAGACCATAAAATGTTTGTTTGTTTCGTTATTTCTCTGAACCTTTTAAGATATGACACTCCATTCTTTGCAGTAGTTTGCAAATATACACTAATTGTTCTAAAATCGCAAACATTTTCGTGGGATGTTTTTCTTTGATTTCGAATTGAAAATACATTACGATCATATTGTACCGAAATAAGTGCGGTATCCCTGCATTTTGTAAAGGCCAGAAAGAAGCATAAACTGTATGAAAAAATGAAAGGGAGAAGTATACATGCCTTCTATAATTTTGCCGTATATGTATATTTGGCAAGTCTTTGTGTAAAAAAACAAAAAATACATTTTCATTTCTTTTCCAGCTTGGAAAATATAGGCTTATTTTTACTTAAATGTGATATAAAGCTAATTAAAATGTTCTGTAATGTCTTGTTTTTAAGTTTGTTATCATAGTTTGATTGTCCACTATACGTGAGTTGCTTCTATTCAAAAAGTTCTAGTACAAAGAATTTCTTTGTTTTGAATTTGTTTGTTTATTGTTTTTAATTTTTAAAATTCATTATTTTGACATGTATGTGAATGGCGGAGTTGCCGCTTTCCTCCTTTTCGGTGGGTTTTTATATTGAAAAGGCATCAAAATGGGAAAACTCCTCCTTGGTATCTCTGCATCTGTTAAACTTTTTATGGGAAGATGTATGAAAATTCAACTTGCTATAATTTCATATGCTTATTAAGCACAACAGTATGTTTACAGTATCTCCCCATAACTTTTCATATGAAAAAATTTATTATATGCATCCCACTCGATATCATTGAATTCCTCATTAGAACATGTAGTCCCTCTATTTTAGCGTATCAACAGTTCATATGGCTTCATACCATGTAAATGCACCATAAAGCATAATTTAACACAACGACATGATTTATAGAAGAATTTGCATAATAAAAATTATTATTAATGCGTTCAACAATTACGCGGTTTTTTTGTTCTCTTCGTTGTTTACTTCTTACAACAAAGATGGCGTCGAGATTTCAACAGCTAGAAAATAACTTTTTTCTTTCTTTCGGGAAGGCGTGATCTTGTGTCTTTCGTTCATGAACGACAACCATATGTATTTTGTATGGAGGGAGTTATGTCAAATCTCAATTCGCTCCAAAGTTTACATACATTTTGTTTTTGCATTTGATGGGTGTGCTGTCAAATTAGTAAAAGCAAAAACAAAATACATGTAAGACGAAAAAATCTGCTGATTTTAGAACACCACCTTGTATAAATTCGCCTTGAGTGCGTCTGTGTAATATTGTTACGGTTATCCTTGCACCCTCGTCCGGATTTCCCAAATTCTCCGGTTCGTATCGCTGGATTGTTAAATAAAGGCTAACGGTGACCAAATGGTAGTACAATTAACTTTATTGTACAACAAACAATTTTACAATACTTGCTAATACAGTAAAAACACTACAATACTTGTTAAAGCAATTACAACGCTTTACTATTTGTTAACACAATTAAACTTATAGCTTGCTTATTCGCAACTCCCTTCTCTGCTCAGTTTACTTGTAGCTTGCTGACTTGTAACTTCGTAGCTAACTCAACTCCGCTGTGTCGTGGCTCTTATATACCTGCGCTCGCACTTATGGCAACTCTAGAACGTTCTGAAGTTTATCGCTCATTCTCTTTCTCTCGCTGTTCGCAGTGTTCATCCAACTTGACGTTTCTCTTTGTGGAACATTCTACGTCATTCCTCGAACATTCTGCCTTTTTCTCGTAGTTCGCTTCGCGTTGCCGCAGTATTCGCCACACTGCCCTCCACCTAAGTCTGATCGTCCCGATCAGACACACTGTTCCAAACGTTGCTAGTCTTTCATCTTGGTTCTCGGTCTCCCCATTGTCTGGATTCGATGCACTGCGTCCTTCAGCCGTTGGTCAATCCTATACAGACCTTTCCAGTTACGATGTTGTTCGGAGGTGAAGCCTTTCTTCGGCTGCGGCATGTGCAATAGCACCGAATCACCGTTCTGTAGCTCCTCTCGGCTCGATGCGTTACTGGACATTGCTTCCAGCTTATCTCCGGTGGTGCACCATCTCACATGGTCGTGCTTCTGCCGGCCACTGGTGGTGACCAGACCATGTCTCTTCTCATGGGCACCCTTTTCGCCAGATCTATGCCGCATCATCTGTCCATGACACCCAGACTCCCGCCTTCGTGCTGCACTGCCTTTAGCACATCTTGCTACACCCGGATCCTTACGCTGAAACTTCCGCCGTCGTTTCGTATCTCGCTCTTCCGCCGATGCTAACTTCATTGACCGGACATGTATAATCTCAACCTTGGCTTCCGGCTTAACTGTTCGCTTTTTCCGACCACCTTTTTCGAGACACTTCAAAGTGCGCCTACTGCTTCCACAGCCGCTTCCATTTCCGGCCACCGGCGTATCACCATTGCAACGTGGTTCAGTGGCTTTCCTCCTGCCGGAAACACTGACTGGCTCGCCATGACCACTTCCTTGTTGCGACCTCTTCACTGAGCTGTCAGAACCGTCACGCTTTTCCGGTATCGGTGAACCACTTCCTTCTCCTGAGGAAACCATTTCGTCTCCATCACTGCCAACCGCCGCCGAACTAACCGCTTCCATTTCTGGTGGAATCTTCGACACATCCTGTAAGACTAACCGTCTGCTGCAGTACTGGCTCTCGTAACCAACCCTAAGTGGCACTTTCCTGTCGCCATAGGTTAGGATCATTCCCTGGAGGTCAATCTTCATGCCTTGCCCAAGTAGGAAATCCAAGCCGATGATGACTTCATCCAAAATGTCTGCGACAATAACCTTCGTGTACGAGGCCAACCCTCGCATAGTACTTCTCCTAACACTTGGGTTCGCTCACCAGTTGCAGTCTGCAGCTTTGCTCCAGGTAGTGGCTTCACATAAAAAGTAGTCACATCAGGTCGAATAATGGAATGTGACGCTCCAGTATCCACTGTCAGCACTCGCTCCTGCCCATTCACACATCCACCAATAGTGAGGTTGCTCGCATTCCGGCCAATTTGTGAGACGGAGATTATGGGCCCTTCAACTTCTGGAGCCAGCACGCGGCCCTTCCTGCTGGCTCGTTTCAGTTTAAGGACTGATTCGTCTCCTTCAGCCCTGCGTTTGCGTCCTGCTGACTTGTTGAGCCACTGGAACTTGCGCTGCAATCGCGGGCGAAGTGGCCTGGCTTTCCACAGTTAAAACATTTGCCAGAGCCATGCTTTTTCTCGCCCAGCAGTTGGATAATCTTCTTCAGCATTTCATTTGTGTCTTCCGGTGCTTCCACTTCCACACGATGTGCTTTGTAGGCTGGTCTACTTAGGAGCGCCGCCGTTTCACGCGTCTGAGCATACGAGACAGTTTCAGCAAATGTTGGCTTGGGATTCGCGTACGTCTCTCGCTTGGTATACACGTCCCGCATTCCGTT